TTGAGATTTGTGACAATTTTATTTTACTCTGAAATCTCTACTGAGAATCCCTTTATCCCTACTGAATCTGGAAGACCATGTGGCTGATTGTTGCTCCATCAAAGATACTAGATGCCCTGCTAGATTAAGTGGGACACACACATGCCTAATTTTCCATGGAAGATGTAGGACCATATAATACACAACATACGAGGAAAATCTCCGTGGAGATGCTTATGATTACAACATTGATGTATGTTACCATGAAGTAGGTGTTCAGAACACATACTGCTCCATGTTTTAAAGTAAAGAACTTCCTGAATATTAGATATAGAAGGTTTTACTAATTGTTCTTTAAGAAAAAGGAGGTGGCAGGCTGTACACTACTGATGTGTCTTTGTAAGCACAATTGTTAGAGAGTATGACTTGCTGAGCAGAGAGCCCGGTGTGGGGCCCCACTCCAGGACCCTGGGCTCATGACATGAGCTGAACCCCTTAACCCACTGAACCAGCCAGGTGCCCCCATCTCTATTTCTTGCAATGCCTTCCCTCCCATGACCCATAGAGAAGACTCCCCCTCCCTAAGGACTTCCCTAAATCTTTTTTAGTCAGAATGGCATACTCTGGACTTAGACTTGGGAGTCTTTAGCACTGCACCATGGACCCAAATGAAAGCATGTGCCCCATGTCCTACACTGAGTGGTATCTTGATGTGTCTATGAGGTACACATGTGCATATGACCATGCTGTGTGTGTCATAGATACCCCATAAGAAAGAGAAATCTATCCCAATAGGAGTCATGTGGTAGCCCAGGGAAGAGACAGAAAATATTCAAGATGAAGAATTAGCATGTAGAGGAGGAGAAGTGTCCCAAGTTTCCCAAGTGACTCCCTAGATGTAGAAGTTATCTCCAGATCTCCAGTTGTATTCGCCCTCATTTTTCTTTCCAGCTACATAGGCACTACAACCATTCTTTTTTGCCTGTGCTATGGAGAGAGTGTCCTCAGAAAATGCTTCATTGAGATTAGACAGATGGAAAGCCGATGGGTATTAGTTCCAAAATGAATGATGTAGGATGTAAATCTAAGTAAAATTTGAGGAAGGCACCATCCTTCGAGAGAAAGACATGACCTATTGAAAGGAAATGTGAGGAACTCTTTCCTGTGTGGGGAGAGACCCGGAGGTGGCTCCCTTTAGTCACTGCAAAGGCACAGGCAGCTCTTGCTTGTGTCGTCTGATGAATACATGTCATGGGGAAAGGAAATGGCAAATGTGGGTTTTTCAGGAGTGGCGAGGTCCTGCTTTATCCTTATGATTTGATCGACCTCCTGTGTCTTCCTGAGGACTAGTACTGTTGGATGTCAGTGATTATTGTATTATCCCTGCCTAGATCCATGACAAGGGATGGAGGAGGTTGTTGGATGATGCAATCATGTGGGCAGCTTTTAAGATGTCACACAGTAGAATAGATGTTTGAGATGAAGAAGCCTTCTGGACGGTGGAATAGGCCAGATCAGCAAGGCATGTGCTGTGGTTGCTTCCACATTTACTATGTATATCACCCCAGTCAAGGTCAGATCCCAGTGTGGTTGGGTGATCCTTCAGGGAATCTGCTTCACTGCTGTGTGGTACCTTCCTCCCTTTCCTCAGCATGGTAGTAAGTGTAGTTATAGGCTCTGCCTCTTTCCATGGCATGGATTTGTTGGAGTAGCAGTTCAGCAGTGAGAGGCAGTGAGCATTTCTGCCTGAAACAGTCCAGCTCAAGTGTTGCAAGTTGGGATGCAGATCAGAAGCACTGATTTCCATTGCTGGCCAAAAAAACAACTTCAGGTACACAAACAGAAGCAGGATCACACACCCTCTCAGAGTCCGAGACTTATAAACAGAAAAGGACTAGTCCTCACCATAACGAGGTTACGATACAATTCAAGTAAGTAACAAATTTCTTTGGTTTTATCACATGCCATGTTTTTTACAGTGAGATCTTCCCAGTCAGATGCCTTATTTCTCTACACTGCAAACTGAAAGCACCATATTCAAGAAGGATTTCGCTTTTCCTTCCCCTTCTCTCTCTGCCTGCCTCCCTGCCTACTTGTGATCTCTCCCTGTCAAATAAATAAATAAATAATAAAATCTTTTTAAAAAGCAGATTTTATTTGACAGGGAACACAAGCAGGGGGAGAGGGAGCAGTAGCCTTGCCACCGAGCAGGAAGCCCAATGTGGGGCTTGACCAGGACCCTGGGATAATGACCTGAGCTGAAGGCAGATGATCAATGACTGAGCCACCCGGGTGCCCCCACAGAACAGACTCCTCACTGTTGAGAACAACCTAAGGGTGGTTGGATAGGGAGTGGGTGGGAGGGGTGGATGCAATGGGTGATGGGTTAAGTAGCACACCGGGATGACCAATCGATGTATATAAGTGGAGAATAGAAATTCTCCTGCTGAAACTAATACTATGTGCAAATGAAGTGGAATCTAAAGAAAACTTGGAGCTACAAGAAAGTAACTTAAGGACAGAAAATTGTTACTTGGTGGAAAGATGAGACATAGAAACAAAACACTCACTTTTAGCCCAGAAGGCTGACTTACATACAGCCTGCATAGTTATGATAAGTATCTAGCTAGTGCTGGTAAGTGCTGGTTGCTACATTCTTATAGGCTCTCCTGACTCTGTCCATCCACCAATAAGCAATATGGAACTTGATGGTGTTTTGGAATATAGGTGAGGTTCAGTGGGGTGGAGTCTGGAACTGATGACCAAGAAATAATTCTTGAGATGTCTTTGGTGTAAATCGGTGGTTTCTTAAAGCACTGGGACAGGACCCCTAGGCAGAAAGAGCTGCTCATTTTCCTGATGTGTCACTGACTATTTAATTGGGAACTGGGGAGTTGAGGACAAACAGGGTGTCCAGAAGGACTGTCATATGCAAAAGAAGACTCTTGAGAGAATGGGGACCTGGTTATTTTCAAGCAAAGGCTGTTTTTCCTCCAGTGACCTACAGATATGAAGACAGTCACCAACTTACTGGAGGACTATTGTATTCTTCTATCACACATCCTTGTGATTTGGTTTCAGGTTTAAGAGAAATTTAATTTTACATACTTTTCCTTTTGCCTCAGCCTCCCTCAATTTTGTGGAGGGGAGGGTGATGTTAGGGCCTCAGGAAACTGAGTTAATGGGTCTCTGGAAGTTAGGCTACAGATAGGATAAGAAAGCTTCTTCCTTGTAAATCACCAGGACACGTGTAAACTGAGGAAGAAAACTGTCCTGTAGTGATAAGGAAAACCTGTGTTCCAAGATGGCTGACCTAGGGAGCTAAGAAGTCCCAACTTCCGCCCCCGGGCTCTTCTGGGTTCTCCTCTCTGCCCTGCTTCTCGAAGGTGCCAAAAGTACCAAGTATGTAGAAATAGGAGGTACAAATTACCTTCTTTGTCTGTGATACATACCAAGAATTGATTAGATGGAGGACCTTGATCAGAAAGACAGCTGACACCAAGGATTAACTTTTTACATCCTCAAGAGTTGTCTACCTGGAGGGGCAAAGCATTATTCGAGGTTGATTTCAAATATCTTTACATTCTCCTGTGAGTTTATGACCCGTGTTTGAAATTCTAAATCCCTCCCTCCTTTTTTAAAGTCACGGTGGCATGCATGCTTCCATTGCCTATCTTTGAGCCTCATGTCTTTCAGGCTCTCATAATTAAGAAATTTTCTTTCTTTTTTTTTTTTTTTTTTTAAGATTTTATTTACTTATTTGACAGAGAGAGAGATCACAAGCAGGCAGGGAGGCAGGCAGAGAGAGGAGGAAGCAGGCTCTCCGCATATCAGAAAGCCCGATGCAGGGCTCGATCCTGGGATGCTGGAATCATGACCTGAGCTGAAGACAGAGGCTTTAACCCACTGAGCCACCCAGGCACCCCAGAAATTTTTTTTTTCTTCTCATGAATCTGTCTTACCTCATTTTAAGTATTCAGCAAACCAAGGAATGGAGAATGGAGTGAGGAAAAAAAATTTTCCTCTCCTCACATTCATTCTGTTGTGTGAACTGACCTCCACACTTCAGCCTGCAAGGACCTATTTATTTTAATTAAAAAAATTTTTTTTAAATTTTATTTATTTCTTTGACAGAGACAGATCACAAGTAGGCAGAGAGGCAGGCACAGAGAGGAGGAAGCAGGCTCCCTGCTGAGCAGAGAGCCCAATGTGGGACTCGATCCCAGGACCCCGAGATCACGGCCCGAGCCGAAGGCAGAGGCCTCAACCCACTGAGCCACCCAGGTGCCCTGTAAGGACCTATTTAGCAAGAGGCTTCCATTAAGGTTAAACACTAACCTTGTTGTTTAACCCTAAAACTGTCCCTGCTCCCCTTCCCCCAGGGGACTTACTTAAAAACAAGTCCCAGAAACCAGCCCCAGGTAACAAAGCTCAAATACAAGGGTGGGTCAGGCCAGGTGGAGACTCCGATCAGCGGGGGGATGCGTACTGTCTCCCTAGCTACCAAGGAGTATGGGCCTGCCCTTTGGGCCCCTTTTGGGCGCCAATTCTGACCAAGGTGATAGGCTGGTTCAAATGTCTACTAGGGTAAATTGTCATTCAATTGGTCACCGAGCATGACTGTGCAGCTTTCTCTGTTACAGTTTCACTGTCCACCTGTGCATGGCCAGGCCCAACCGCATGGCCTTTGCCGTTAAAAGCCAGTCTGTGCAACAGAGAAAGGTCGCTCTCTCTTGTAAGAGATGCGTCCCTGAACTGTCGGTCTGATTCTTGATGCTTGGTGCGGAATAAAGCTTTGCTTGACCTTCGCTTTATATCAGTCTCTCTCCTTTAATCACAGACCCATTTTTGGGGGGACCTAACAAGCCCCAGAACAGAATGTGCAGACAGAGCTGGGGATCCAGGGCAGCCGGAGCTTCATTGCTTTGCCAGCCAAGGAGGCCTCAGCAGGTCAGGGCCATGAAGACTGCAGCCCACCCAGTGGAAGAAGGGGCCAATGTTTTGTAGGGAGATGCTGGATAATGGCCGATTTCCGGAGGAATTGTGTCTGTGCCGCCAGCCCTGTTGATCATGCTGTCAGGGTGGAACCAGGTTCCTGAAATGAGGGGAGGAGATGAAAAGAGGGGAGGTTTACAGAAGAGGGAAAGAAAGTTGCTTTGCTTGTACTGGAGTTCGCTGAAACATGGATGCAGCCGTTTGGATATTTGTTCAACTTGATGTTTTTAAGTGGTTTCCTTTTCAGGCACCAGGACAACTGTAGTAAGACCTTTTCCTATTTTACAGTTGAGAAAGCAGTCAATATTTTCTAGAATACATAAAATAAAAAGTATAGCCCCAAATTTCAGTGAGAATGCTAAGAATTAGAATTCTCATATTGGGGGTGCCTGGGTGGCTCAGTGGGCTAAGCCTCTGCCTTCAGCTCAGGTCATGATCCCAGCGTCCTGGGATCGAGCCCGGCATCAGGCTCTCTGCTCAGTGGGGAGCCTGCTTCCTCCTCTCTCTCTGCCTGCCTCTCTGCCTACTTGGAATCTGTCATATATAAAAAAAAAAAAATTCTCATATTGCTGATTGGAGGGTGAAAACATACATTCACTTTGGAAAATTGTGTGGCAGGTAGTTATGGAAATATTTACGTATGGAAGGGCAGCAATTTGTCACCCTAAAATGTGTCTCCTTGGTCTAAAGATTATTTCAGACTGGTATTTTTGAAGAAACAGCGGATAAAGGAAAAGCTCTGAAATCCTGTGTTTACTTTGAAGGAGACATTTGCATTTCTATGGGAAAGTTCGGTCTGTCAGGTGTCTCCCTCTGGTAGCGGATAGAGGGAGAAGGAGGCAGATAGCGGATAGAGGGAGAAGGAGGCAGTCTCCGGAAACTGCGGGTCGTGGAGAAGGCAGGGCTCGAACTGTGCTCCAAGCCCCAGCCTTGGTTCCCCTGCTTTGCATGGTGTCCTCCCAGATGCTTCCCTATAGGATCAGGTTGGAAGATTCAAAAGGATCCGATCTGTTGGCCTCCCCCTCAGAGTCTCTCTGTCGGTTTGGGTGGAGACAACAGTGTTGTGTTAATTATGGGCTCCAGATGATTCTCAGTGAGGCCTGCGGTGGGCACGAGGGCTTCGGCTTGTTTTACGAGTGGGGAGCGGGCTTTGGCTCCTGGAGGGGTAAGAGGGTCTCTGCTCCCTGAGTCTGCAGGGCCAGGTCGGTGGAGAACAGGGTTCCTACACTGAAGCCGAACTTGTGGGCGTCTCTGGGAGGGGAGACCCCCCTGAAAGCGGAGAAGGAAAAGGCAGGGATTGCTCTCCCAGCAGGAGCTCACGGTTTCTGAATAGCTCCTGACACAAAGGCTAGGAATTTGGGCCTTTTCTGCATTTTAGGATCCTGCCGGTAACTGGGCCATTTTCGGGTGAAGAGGCTCCGTCAGAGATGTTAAAAGCAGTTCTTGTGACGCAGCTGTGGTTTCTCCGCAGAAACCTTGTGACAAAGAAATCTAGAGGACGACTCGAAAGCAGAAATGGCTGGGTGCTCCGTAAGTCGTGAGTCCCAGTTCACAGGTCACGTCGTCCTTTTCTCTGCAAATTCCTCGGGTTTAGTGCTTGCGAATCTTGATTTCTGTAGCTCTGATGTTTCTTCCTTATATTTGTACCTATTTTTAAAACCTTTTCAGAAATAATACTCAAAGTTAGGTCTTTAGAACCCTTCTCCCCGGTATCCCAGATCCTTCTCTGCCTTCTTAGAACCTGCGTTCCAAAAGGGCACCGACCGTTGTCACTTTGAATTAAGTAAAGTCCGGTAAGTATTGAAAATATTTCCTTGGGATATCAGCGGAGGAAAGCATTTTCATTTATGTCCCATGGGAATGCTTTATCAGCTCTGTGCAGCCCAGGGTTAAGAAAATGCATAAATAAACAGGATGGATAAGGATCCAGAATCACTCAGAGAATTCGCAGGGTAATCCCAGGGAGTGAGTCTTGTTCCTTAAAATGTGAAAAACAGGGGCGCCTGGGCGGCTCAGTGGGTTAAGCATTGTGCTCTTGATTTCTGACCAGGTGGTGATGAACCTGGTGGTTCTCTGCTTAGTGTTCATGGGGGTGTGCAGGGACTGTAAGATCATCGCTGTTTCTTCGAATGTATACTTGTACTACTTTTGCAAGATTTCTCTGGTGCTAATGAGTTCTGTATTAATTATAGCTGAGATGTACAGGCAGTCACGAGATCTAACCGGAATGCAGCAGTTTGTCCTTATATGATGGTTCTGGAACCATCCATAGAGACCATAGAGACCATAGGTCAGCCTTCTGGGCTCCAGGTGAACATTTTTTGCTTCTAGCCCTCATCCTAGTAGACTCAGAAATAAGAGCTGTTCCCTTTCTGTCATTCTGTGTGTTTGTGTTGACAATGGGAATAAAAGACAAAAATCATCACGGACAAAAAGATTTATGTATCGAATCATTGAAAATGTTTCTTAAAGTAGTCGTCATGACAAGTTTCTATTCTGTCACTTTTCCTTTGGGTGTAACCACTTTCTAAATGTCTGGATGTGTCTTTGTACAATGGCAGATCAGTGCTGGGTGAATCAGTTCTTGTTTCCCTCATTCTTCTCGGGTTTGACCCCTGCTATGAACACTGATTTAGGGTCTCTCTGTATAATGACCTCTGTGTCATTTTAGAGCGACTCTAGGTCAGAACACCTTGGTGAAAACTTGATCCCTTCCATGTCACTGGATGTTTGGCAAAACATTCCTATAAAAATAGAATAATGTATTTGTTCTCTGAGATGGTTATTATGCATTTTCCCTTAATTTATGAACAAGTGTTAGGAGCTCTCTAGAAACTAGGAAATGGTGAGAAAGGATTGTTGTTGTCTTTCTTGCTTTGCCAGTAGAATCTATAATTGGTATAAAACCCACTCAGGCATGCTTGGGTGCCTCAGTCGGTGAACTGACTGACTTTGGCTTGGGTCATGGTGCCACGAGTCCTGGGACGGAGCCCTGTGTTGGGTTCCCTGCTCAGGTGGGAGTCTGCTTATCCCTCTCCCTTTGCTACCAACCCTCTATTCTCCCCCCAGCCTTGTTCTTTCTTGTGTGAGCGTGCTCTCCCTCTCTGTCTCTCTCAAATAAAAAAAAATGAAACCAGTTTAAACAAACATACATTTCTGTTCCAAGTCCTCTGAGAATTCCTCCTTGGAGTTCTACCTCTTTGTTATTCAAAAATCTATCCCTTGGAGGTTGGGCTATTGCTCTCTTAGAAATGCAGACTCGCATCCTAGCCCAGTCCTCCAGAACATAATTTGCATGTATATAAGATCTCCCCTGCCCTCTTAGAATTTAATAAGTACATTTGTAACCCACTAAAACATCCCACCTAAGAAGCAGACACTACTTAAACTGTATGATGTTAACACGGTATTAAAAATGTGTATGCCTGTGTTGATGCCTTCGTTTAACAAGTTATTTTGGATGAAGACACAGTATTTATACTGATTTTGTGGATCCTGTGTCATCCTCTTACCTCAAAGCCAGAGAATACATTAGCGCCTATTACTGGGTTAATAATTATCTTCCTGTACAAAGGAGGATAGTCTCTGAAGGCAGAGCAAGTTGTCCTAATAAAATGGGACTAACATGGGTTCACTTATTGGTGAGTCACAGAAAGTACACAGGGATGGGGCGATGGTGGTCACACAATGGAAACTTGATTTGCCTAAAAAAAAAAAGTGGGGTGCCTCACGGGGGATAAGTTCCAAATAAGACACTGACAGAGCAAGGGGAAGGATTTCCTGTTACTTGGGGTTAGGGTGGATGTTCAGAAAGTGGAGTTTGGTCTTGTGTAGAGCTGGGCAAAAGCTGACACAAGAGTCTCAAGAAAAAACTTCTCAGGCCTCTGGGGGGCTCAGTCATTAAGCATCTGCCTTCATCTCGGGTCACGATCCTAGGGTCCTGGGATTGAGCCCCACATCGGGCTCCCTGCTCCATGGGGAGCCTGCTTCTCCCTCTCCCACTCCCCCTTCCTGTGTTCCCTCTCTCGCTGTCTTCTCTCTGTCAAATAAATCTTAAAGAAAAAAAAACACAAACCACTTCTGTACATACTCTGTATGTTTTGTACATGATCTTTGGGACTTCCTTTTTGGGTGGAGATTTTAATACTAAAATAAAGGGAACTGTATAGATCACTGCATGGGTTACTTCTTGGTGCCTCTGCTTAGGTGTGAGTCTGGGGTTAAGCTCAAACTGGGCGAGCCTAAGCTCTTCCTCAGGACAATTCATACTTTTGTTGGATAGTTTCCGTTTGTTTTGCAGGAGTCGGGGGTTTTGAATGAGGTAAAAGATAAGGTGGAAACACGAGGGTAAGTAAAATATGGGACAGAGGTTAGAGGGTACAAACAGGTAACTGGAGAAGGTCAGGTCTTGGGTCTGGCTGGTGACATTAACTCCTATCATCTTGGGGACCATTGTGAACTCTGCCAGTGGCCACTTGGTGACTGTGGTATTTATTGCAGGGACAGCTGACCTTCAGGGATGTGGCCATAGAATTCTCTGAGGAGGAGTGGGGATGCCTGACCCACACTCAGCAGCAACTGTACAGGGATGTGATGTTAGAGAATTACGGACACCTCGTCTTCTTGGGTGAGAATAATTCCTTCCAGATTTCCAAACCCCACTCTGGGTTTTGTTCCTTCCTGTGAAGACTGTGTCTTGGAAGATTCCTGTGTGAGTGACTGGAATTCGGATCCAGGCAAAAAGGGAAATAAGTTGGGATTTGTAGATGGAGAGAGAAATCTTCATGATGTGTCCTTTTCAGCTCTAGTTTCCCCTTCTTCATCACTTCTGTAGATTCCTGGTCATTCTAAACACTGAGTGGCATAAAATGGTGCTGCCCACATCTTCTACTCCAGTTTCCACTCACTGTTGTGTAGGTGGTACCTGGAAGTGGAGGTCAGGACGTGAACGTTGGAAGTACCTGCTGTGTGTTCTAAAGGGGCTGTTGGACAACAGGATGTGGGAAATGTTTTTCTAGAATTCTGCAGTTTCCTCTCTTCTCTACTGAGCACAGCTGTGATTGAAAGACTCTCCAGCGATACTCACTTTCTTTTTTTTTATAAAACAGGCATTACATCCAAGCCAGACTTTGTCTCCTTTTTAGAACAAAAGAAGCAGCTCTGGGATGTGATAAGAAAGGAGACAGTAGTCCTCCATCCAGGTAGGTGGGAATGAATGAAGCAGGTGACAGAGGTGACGTCCAAATGTGGAGGAGGATGATGGACCTTAAAGTGTGGTTTGAGTCGATTTCCTTGAATGGAGATTAGTTTGGGAAGCCTGTTGGTGTTGGTCTCCCTCTCCAAGATTATCAGAGTGTTACATTCTCTAGGGATTCTCCTTCAGCTTGAGTGCTGGTCCACCGCATCCACACTGAGGGCCAGGCAACTGCCCTGGGAGTGGGAGGGCCTCCATGACCTGAGAGCTTCTCCATTGCCATGAGGGACCCAGGGAAGTCACCTTATTTCTAAAAACCTTAGTGTTGAGCCCTTTGTAAGTTCTGTTTTGCCTAGTGTGAGATGCATATGAGGGTAGTGGTGGGCATAATGGCATTTGGTGCAGAAATGCTGGGAGCACTGGAGACCGACATCCCATGTTTTCTGATTTATGCTTTCTAATGTTATGGAGGCTTTAATCTGAATTATACAAAATTGAGACTCAGTAGCATTATCAGATCAAAAAGTACCTCCCTGAAATGACAAGGTCAAATCCTTTACTCCCCTTCAAAAGTTGGTTTTACTTCATATGAACTTGATCCTGGTATCTCCCCTGCCAGGTAAGTTTTGTATGAACTAATAGTAGAAATTTTTCAACTCTGTATTCCATTCCTCAGTGGTGAAGTAATGTAATGTATCTGTTTGTTTCCTAGAATTCATACCTAAATAATGCCACAGGGGGTGCTAGAACATTTGGAACTCAACATTTGTAGCCTATAATACAGTCTCAGTTGTTGCCTTATTTATTAATAATTGCATCATTTCATAATTTCATTTTATATAAAGTTATTGTGACTTTGCCATGTTTGTTTTTATTTTTTAATTAGTTGTAGTTGAGATTCATTTCTTTTTTTTTTTTTTTTTTAAGACTTTATTTATTTGGCAGAGATCACAAGTAGGCAGAGAGAGAGAGGAGGAAGCAGTCTCCCCACCTAGCATAGAGCCCGATGCAGGGCTCAATCCCAGGTACCTGAGATCATGACCTGAGCCGAAGGCAGAGGCTTAACCCACTGAGTCACCCAGGCGCCCCGAGATTCATTTCTGATGTTTCTTTAGATCCCAAATCCTGATAGGACATGGGCATGTGCTTTATAAGAAGTGAGGTAGATAATTAGTACAGCCCCCATGTTTAAGAAAAACTTCTGTTTATAAATGTAGTTTTACATCAGGGAAGGCCAGTCATTAGATTTTTGTTCTGCTCTCCTCAGAATATACGTGAATTCATCCAAATACTTATGTAAAGTCTTTGTCAGTATATTTTAGAGTGTTGGTGGTATTGTTCATCTGGAAATGAAAGGATTTTGCTTGCTGTTCTACAGAATGAATTATACATTCTGCATCAAAAGAGGACTCTGTTAATAACATGATACATTTTTAATGTCTTGTAAGTCCTTATTGGTAAAATTTTTCATTAGATGTTTTTCTGGTTGATATTAATGACTATTCATTGCAATTTGACGGTCCATGAAGACATGCCAATAATTCCAGTGCTTGTTTTTTATGGGGTCACAGTCACAGTTTAAAAATACAGTTACACGGGGCACCTGGGTGGCTCAGTGGGTTAAATCCTCTGTCTTAGGCTCGGGTCATGATCTCAGGGTCCTGGGATCGAGCCCCACATCAGCCTCTCTGATTGCCTCTCTGCCTACTTGTGATCTCTGTCTGTCAAGTAAATTAAAATAAAATACAGTTAGTTACACGGTGGTTTTCCTTTTAAATAACTCATCCTTTTTTATGTAAAATATTTTGGATTAAATTTGGACTTACTCTGGTTTTGCAGTTCCATAATCATGTGCTTCTTTTTGTCTTGGACTTCCCATATCACAAAGTCATTTGGGTTTCCTTTTTACCTGTGTGTTTTATTATACGGTGATAATTTTTAACTCAATAGATTTTAAGACAATGTGAGTTTACCTCAAATCTAAATCACTTTTAGGTCCTTTTCCAATAAAATTATGTATGCATTGGTCTGTATCAATATTATGCATACATACTATGTTACTCCTCTTGTGTACTTCGTTGGTCAGTGGTCAGTGTATGTTGTATCATGTCTGTGGAGTTGTCATAATAATAGAATTCATTTTATCATCTATTGGTGAATTTATATTTTCCTTGCATGAGAGAAACACTTTCTTGAACTGAAAGTATTTTTTTTTAAAGATTTTATTTATTTTTTTGACAGAGATCACAAGTAGGGAGAGAGGCAGGCAGAGAGAAAGAGGGAAGCAGTCTCCCTGCTGAACAGAGAGCTCAATGCAGGGCTGGATCCCAAGACCCTGAGATCACCACCCGAGTCAATAGCAGAGGGTTAACCCACTGAGCCACCCAGGCTGTCTAAAGATAGATTTTCGAGTAACAGCACCAACTAGGAGGAAGCACATGTACGTGTGTATCAGACCTGTGACTTCAGAAGGAAGAGGAATATTGGTTTTGAGGAGCACATTTCCAGGTTTCAAAATTGATGATTTCCTAGCAAGCAGAAGTATTGTATATTCATGTTAGGAATAGTACAGAACTTATAGTTCCTAAATCTCGAGTATCTTGGTTTGAGACTCTCCGCATGTAAATCATATCTTGTATACCTGGGTGTTAACTCGTGTAGGATCCACTCTGCTGCTCTTCTTCCAATCTGCATAATGTTTAAATCTCAAGGATTTTAAGAACAGTTTGCATGAAATGACTTGGTGTTCAGAATTTAATGTGCACATGGAGTAATTCTCCAGGGAGCACATTACATTCCATGTAGTTTAATTGATAACATTCACTCTTTCCTCTGTGATTGGAGAAGTAAGATTTTTTGAGCTGGTATTCTTTTCCTTTCTTGGAAGTGACGTCATCCTGGTTGCTCACTTCACTGTAACAGTTTGATTAGGTGAAAATGTAGAGACTTCAGGGTGCCTGGGTGGCTCAGTGGGTTAAGCCTCTGCCTTCCACTCAGATTATGATCTCAGGGTCCTGGGATCGAGCCCCACATCAGGCTCCCTGCTCGGCAGGGAGCCTGCATCCCCCTCTCTCTCTGCCTGCCTCGCTACCTACTTGTGATCTCTCTCTCTGTCGAATAAATAAATAAAATCTTTTAAAAAGTTGAACTAAATTAAAAAAAAAAAGAAAAGACTGATGTGTATGCATAGAAAAGAAGATGTGTATTTTGTTTTATGTACACAGTGAGTGGATAGGTGCTCAGGCCTGATAGAATGGCACAGACACACTAGAGTGCACTTTCATCGTTTATTTCTTCTCTGCGGTATGGTCCTCCCTAGGCATTCTGTTCATACTAGCTCTCTCCTGGCCCCAAGATACCTGCTCCCCACCACCACACACACACCAGGCATCAGTCCCTGTAGAAGGCAGCAAAGGAGACAGTGTAAGTCTGGTTCCACTTAAGAAATTTTGAATTGATGCCTCTTTGTGTTCATTCAAGGAAGGCCATCCTCCCCAAGGCCTACTCCCGCCATGACGTTGACCAGAACTCTGTCATAGGAGCCAGTCTAAGTAGAAATGTGGAAGTGTAGCACAGGTGGACATAGAGATGTTTGCAAATGGCTCTTGTTCTATGAACTGGTTCACAGCATCTGAGAGAAAGGTAGTCAACTTTGCACTGAAACTGTTTTTTAAAAAGATGCTAAAATTTAGAGTATCCTTAATCTTAATGCTCAGGGATTTTATGCTGCATGCAAATTGAATGCTGATGAACTCCTTAAGCCTGCAATTATTTATGGTCTAATGGTAAAAATCATCATCTACAGATTTACAGTGAAAATGCTGTATGCCATCCCAATATAATACATGACATGTATCGATGTGTCGTGTGCATTTCATAACTTAGTTGATAAAATATTTACATAAGTGCCCTTTCATTTTAATTATATTGCCTTTATTCAAGAATGGGACCAGAGGTGTGTTTGGGGTGATCCCAGAAAGCTCAAGGAGAGTATTGAGAGAAAGCAGAGATGGAAAAGAAGGAAGCCAAGATAGACTTCGTTAGAGTCAGATTAATTGATGAAAAAAAGAAAATGTGTGTTGTGTATGTTGTGTGTGAGTTGTCTAAGTGTATGTCACAACAATAGCATCATCACAAGCATAGAGGGATTCTAAGAGTGACTTATCTGTGGATAACTCTGGGATGACCCATGACGTTTCCTTCAGAGGTAATCGGATTTCGTCTGCATCAGAATCACCAGGACAGTTTGAAATCTTGGATTGCCTTGTCTATCCCTATATTACCATGTCAATAAGTCTGGGGTGTAACTCCTGAACTTCTTTTCTTATGCATTCTCAGGTCCCTGTCCAGGGAACAGATGGTGAGAACCGGTGTCTGGGGACACATTAAGAGCTCAGTGCCTCTGGAAGGGTATTAGCCTATGCAGAATGTAGTCAGGGGACAGGTCCATAATCCTGGTTCTCCAGGTGTGAAAGTGGACTCCTGTGTGTGCTGGGCCTTCCCTGTGTTTTGACCTTGGACACCTGACCTCTGTGTCTGGTTCTTAAGTAGTCAAACGGAAAGCCACTCAGGCTACATGTGTGTGGTTTGAGCTGGAATTTTCACCTTGAAGTCCCAGTTCACGGAACCTGTTGCATGTGAGGGCTTCTGGTTCAACCACTGAGTGTCAAAGATGAAAAAGAATGCAAGCACAGGTCACCTTCTGGAAGAGCATTTGACCTGGGTGCCTCGTGTTGATGTGCAGGGTATCCAGGGTCAAACCCTGACTCTACCAATTTGGAGATATTCACTCAACCTTCTTGTGTCTGAACCATTTCTGCCAGTAAAAGGACAATAACATTAGCACTAACACACAGAATTAAGGATGTTAAATACATTAAAATAGATAAAGCATCTGGCGCCTGGGTGGTTCAGTGGGGTAAGCCTCTGCCTTCAGCCCAGGTCATGGTCTCAGGGTCCTGGGATCAAGCCCCACATTGGGTTCTCTGCTTGGTGGGGCGCCTGCTTCCCCCTGCTTGGTG